CAGCCCTGCCGTGCCGTGCCGTGCAGCAATACCAGCCAGGTGCTGTGCCCCAGGACCGTCGGCGTGGGGCTCGGGCCCAGCCCTGCCGTGCCGTGCCGTGCAGCAATACCAGCCAGGTGCTGTGCCCCAGGACCGTCGGCGTGGGGCTCGGGCCCAGCCCTGCCGTGCCGTGCCGTGCAGCAATACCAGCCAGGTGCTGTGCCCCAGGACCGTCGGCGTGGGGCTCGGGCCCAGCCCTGCCGTGCCGTGCCGTGCAGCAATACCAGCCAGGTGCTGTGCCCCAGGACCGTCGGCGTGGGGCTCAGGGCCGGCCCAGCCCTGCCGTGCAGCAATGCCAGCCAGGTGCTTTGCATGGGCTTGCAGCCTCCCCCAGTTTCAGCTCATCTGTGTGGCCAGGCGCCCAGCCCATGGCCGGAGGCTGCAGTCCGGAGCAGGCCTGTGCACACGGCCGTAGGCCACTACCGGGAGTGTGGTGGCTGGAGCACACCCAGCGGTGCGCCTGGGCAGGGCAAGCTCCAGTAGCTGCCGCCTGCTCCTGGACAGTGCTTTGCATGGGCTTGCAGCCTCCCCCAGTTTCAGCTCATCTGTGTGGCCAGGCGCCCAGCCCATGGCCGGAGGCTGCAGTCCGGAGCAGGCCTGTGCACACGGCCGTAGGCCACTACCGGGAGTGTGGTGGCTGGAGCACACCCAGCGGTGCGCCTGGGCAGGGCAAGCTCCAGTAGCTGCCGCCTGCTCCTGGACAGCCCCCCTCGAGTCCTGCTTCCCCAGGGCAGCTGCTGTCCCGCTTGGCTTGGGCTGGCCTTGCTCTCGTCTGGGGTGGGAGGGGACTTTCGTGCCCTGGGCTTCACCAGGTGCCCAGGAGGCTGGGCAGAGCCTGAGAGCCGCCCCCTCCCGGCTGTGCCAGGCCCCAGGGCAAGGGCCCGGGGCTGCGCTGCTTCGGCTACTTCTGAAAAGGTTCCCTACCGAGCGGTCTCTGGCTGCCTGGGGCTGGGAACCGGGCTGGTGGGCCTGCTGCCTGGGGGGGGCCCTTCCCAGCCAGGCCAAAAGGCCCCCCCAGGTGCCTGGGGAGTTCGCCCACTGACTCCTGGGGGGGCCACAGTGCGTGTGAGGGGGTGTCTGCCCTCGGGGGTCTGCCCTCCTGCACAGCCTCGGCCCCAGCAGCCCCCAGCATTCTGCAGCCCGCTGGGATCGTCCATTAATTCCCCCCTCCCAGTAGCATTTCTGCTCCTAGACCCCTGAGGAGCCAGTCCCCTCCCACCGTGCTGCTCTCCCCCCCACCGGGGACCCTGTCCCCTACTTGCCTGGTGCTGCTTTACAACAAACATCTGCCCCTGCTGTGGGTCCACATCCCAGGGCTGCCCTCGCAGCAACATCTCTGCCCTGTGAGGCCCACTGGTACCCGCTGTACATAGCCAGGAGGAAAACTGGTTTACAGCCAGTGCTCCTGTAAGCTGGGCACTTGTACTATTGCTCAGCAGCACCCAGAGCTAGGTGGTGCACAGTCACACATGCCTCAGTGCATCTAACAAAATTTATTCTGCACCAATGGAAAACATGAGAGAGAACATATTTTATGGCCCCTCACAGCTGCACAGTCCCTCTTCAGTCTATGCCCTCCCCTTGTGGGGGGCAGCCCCACCTCACCCATCCAGCCCCCAAGGAGTGGAGCCCTCAAGTGTTAATGTCACTTTATTGCTCATTGGGTTGGAGTACAGAAAAGGGCCAAACGGCCCATGTACAAATCACAGGAATATACAACCCCACCCCCGCCCCCACCCCCACGCTTTGGTCACAGCTGCTGCAGCTTTGTCCCTGACAGGGGGCCTGGGTCAGGCTCTGGCCTGGAAGTCCTGGCCCCAGCCCAGCCCTTAGTGGCCTGGGTGCCCGGCAGAGCTGGATAGGGGAGGCAAGGTCCGTACCATTGGTGTGAGGCCGGGAGCAAGCTCCGCGCAGGGGACCCCGCGGCCTCGTGTGCAAAGGCAAAAAGACAAAGGCAGGGAAAAGAGCTTCACATTATCCGGCAGGCCAGGCGGGGCGGGAGGGGCCCGGCCCCGGGCCCGGCCCCTGCGGCTTTGGTGGCTCTGCCTGGACAGAGCAAGGCAGAATTCCAGGCACGTAATTCTGCCCTTCAGCAGCTGGGCCTGGCCCCCCAACTCTTGTGCCCCATTGCCCTGGGGGAGGGGGAGGCAGGAGATGCCCGTTCAGTGCAGCCTGGCCAGCCCCAAGGTCCCAGCTCAGTGTGCTGTCGTGGGGGAGGGGAGGCACCGGCCCCATTAGCCAGGGGCAGGACCGGACCACTCCCATCAGTGCCACTGCCCCCCATGCCCTGGGCTTCCGCAGAAAGCTCCCTGCCCCCGCCCAGCAAGCGTCTCCCTGGCACAGCAAAGCAGGTGCCAGCGTCTGTCTGGCTCAGGCTCCAGGCACAGGCCTGAGCCTCCAGGGAGCAGAGGGGAGGGGGCCTCTTGCCCGGGACGCAGGAGAGCAGCACGGCCCAGCCCAGCACATGGCTGCTTCACTGCCCTGCCTCCTCACTGCAGCCCAGAGACCGGCCTCCTGGACAGGCAGGAGGGGAGCCCACCCCAGGACAGCCCGTGGGGAGGGGGGAACTAGCAAACCACTCCCATGGCCTCGTACTTCCACATACCCCTCCAGAGAAACAACTAACACCCGTCCCCCAGCACACGTGAGCCCAGGGAGTAGAGACAATTGGCAGGGGGCTGCCTCCCAGAGGCTCAGTCTGTGGAGAGCCTGGCCCCTGGCCCATGATCTGTCCCACCAGGGCCCAGGAAAGGGGTGGGGGAGCTGTCTGGGCTCAGGGGCCTTGGGAATGGCCCACGGCAGGAATTCTGCCCTTCAGCAGCTGGGCCTGGCCCCCTGGGGCCATCCCTGAGTACAGCAAGAGGGCGGGGCTGGCTCCCCTCAGCTGCTGGCTTTGGTTTCTGCTCAGCTGGGTGTGGCCAGCACTGGAGACCTTTGGGGGCCAGGCCCAGCAGTGGGGGTGGGGAGGGGCTCCTGCCTCTCGCCCAGCTGCAGTCTGAGCCGGGCCAGGGGCTGCCAGGCAGGCTGCAGAGGCCTCAGAGCATAGAACCCGCTGCCCTTTGCCCCCTTCTCTTTGGCTCTCCCGGCCTTTCCCCGCTGGCCGCAGACAGGGTAAGAATTTGGCCCTGCACATTTTCTGGGAGCAGCCGACACTCCCAGGTAGCATACTCCATCGGAGGGTCCCTGTGCCAAGTCCCTGGCAAACAGGCCCTGTGCTTGTGCCCCAGGCCGGGCGGCACTCAGAGCTGGAGGGCGTGGGAGGCCCAGCTGAGCCAGTGGAGCTCCCTCCCTCGCAGAGCCACTGTCCCCTCTAGCCTGGGCCAGGCTGGCGGTGCCCTGTGCACCGGGGCAAGTTGCACTTCTGTGGCAGGGAGGTTGTGGGGAGCCGCTGCCA